GGGGCTCTTTGCTCCACAGCAGGGCTGACCCGTCCCCTCTGCTTCCTGACTGGAGCTCTGGCAGAGACTTGCTTCACCCTGTCCTAGCCCCTGTCACTGCTGTCTGCTTAAGCAGGAAATCCCACCCTGTTTCCCTCCCCTCTTCCACAGCAGAGACCCCCAGCCCCATGAACCCTAGGCGTGTGGTATGCTAGCTATTACAGATGTGTGTGTGTGTCCAATTTCACTGGGACAGGCAGACAGAACAGTGACCGTTTAGGGCAGTTTGGAACTAATCAACATGTCAGCTGGTTACCTGTTTAAGAAGAGTTTGAACTAATGGAGTGAAAGTATTGTTTTGATGATTAGGTGATAAACAATGTTATCAGCCCCCTGCTGGCTTGCTTGCCTGTCACTTTGCTGCAAACACTATAAAGAAGCAGGGAGGGAGATTGAAAAGTTCTGTAGCATCAACAGATGCATGCACTGCACCTTCCTCCCCCACCCCCCACTTGCCTCAGAGTGCTAGCAGGGGGCTGGGGGCTGGTAACACTCCCGCCCCTTGAGCAATGAGTGGGGAAAAGCCTGGGATGGTGCAAGCAGACCTCCATAATCAGAACATCCTGCCGGGGCTTGGCCGTGCTTCTCTCAGCTCAGACCTGTGCAATAGAAGGGAGGGGTGCTGTAGCACCCCCGGCTTCTAGCCTGAGCCACTGCAGGCGCGTGCCTGAATTTCCTCCGTCCAGAGAGAATGTCTGTCTGGTTACAAACCAGTTCAGCCTAGCCAGATTAGACAGACCTACAAAGATTGAATCAATTCAGGCTCAGGCTTTTTGTCCCTAGCCTCAGTGTTTAGTAAGACTGAGGAACATTAATCCAGTGATTTTCAACCAAGGTGCTGCAGCACCCTGGGGTCTCACAAACTCCTTTGAAGGATGCTGGAAGGTGTGAGAAGATAAAGTGCAGGCTCAGATTTGCCCCTGCATGGCCACTGCCTCCCCACACACATGCCCACTCCCTGTGCAAGGAGATAAGTGCTATAATAAATACAGTTTTTGAAATGGGGCGCTGCTCAGTTTACAAACGTTTTAGAGGAGTGGCTTGAGTCTGAAAGGTTGAGAATCACTGTCTTAGCCACATTAGGGAGACTTACTTTAATTTATGCTTTCTTGCTCTCTCCACAAGGTTGCCTTTTTCCTTTCATACCTCTGTTTCTCTCTCCACAAGATGTAAGTTATACCTTCATAGAGTCCCACAGATTTAGTTTGTTTGTAGCTCAATTGAAATGTACTGGTGATATAAATTAGATTCTCTGTCACTCCATTATACTAACATAGATTTCCATTATGTTTGGACCAGATTTATCCCATTAAATCCAGCCTTTAGACCACTTCAAATTCTATCTGTATGTAGAGAGTCTGTTCTGATGCAACTTACAAGATATGGGATGGCGGGGAAGAAAATAACATAAGGTACATCGTCTTAGACCACCTAAGCCTTTCTTATATGCACCCCTGACTTTGTCTCATTATCTTTCAATGCACATTTGCTGTGGAGAAAGAAATTTGCTGGTGATAACAGGAATAAAGAAACTGTAAAAATATCGAATGACTATTGCACAGTAGAATTGTACTTAACATAAAGCAAGCTGTAATTAGATCTTTTTGCCATATTATTTTCTTTTTGTTTGTCAGAAAAAACAAATCCTACTTTCTGTTGAACTGATTTGTAATGCAAGAGTATATTACAATTATATCTCTGTATAATGCAAATATACATATTTCATATTCTGTTTACTAAAACAGGGACATGAGTTTCATTCCAACTAGGCAATTATCTACTGACATAGTAAAATGTAAAGATGGAAGGTTATTGCTTCATCTTAGCCCAGGTACTTCCAGGTCATCTACTCAGCACTGTCACAGAAGTGTTTTGCATCTACTTTTTGGGGCCTGTGCCAGGCTGTCAGCCACCTTCAGCTGCTCCAGTAACCACTTGAAGGCTTGTTTCACACAGACTCTCCTTATTAATTAGGAGATATCCTGGGTCACAGGAATATCCGAACATGGTTCCTTTGCAAACAAAGACTGAACCAGTGGATTTTTATTGACACTGCTTCTGTCCTTCACTGCCATTTCAATGTGTGTGTGTATTTTCTGTTTTGTTGCAATACCTTCACAGAGCAGATTTTTACTATCATGCATGGGGATTTAGCCACATTGCTCCCTTTAATGATAGTGGACAGCATTGCTAAACCCATGTGCAACATGGAGAAATTATGTCCCATAATTTTCAAATGAAGGAAGATAAGAAGTTAGTTCATTTTTTTTTATCGCTTGTTAAGGAAAAGAAGAATGAAGACAATTAAATTGTTTCACGTTAGCTTTATTTATCCACCTATCTTGTCTTCTTGAATCTGAAAGATTTATTGATTTTACTTGTTTACAATGAATAGTGATTATGGTGCTGGTTTATCTAACTGGCAGTCGTCAGAACTGATGGACATAGAAAAAGAGCTACAGCAGACACCATGGCACTTGCAAGTTCTCATCCATTCATATATATCATCCCACCATGTTCCTCAACCCTGATCTAGAGGGACCTTTTGTAAGAGTCAGGGGCTATGTAGTCTCCTTGGCCATGTCTACATGAGACACTGATTGCACAGTAGCTTGTTACTACTGGGCAGTAGTGTCACATGTCATGAAATGTGACACACTGCTACTGCGCAGTAGTAATGAGCACTGTGCAGTCAGCATCACCTAAAGGCCATTTGGTGACACTACTGTGTAGTAACTCTGGTTACTGTGCAGTCATTTAGTGTTTGTGCATGAAAGTACTAAATGACTGTACAATAATGACTGCACAATCAGTATCTTGTGTAGCTGTGGCCCTTGTTTACTAACTTTTTGGCATCAGAAGAGCCCGGTAACAGCATATGAAACTGAGATATTGTGCTGTGTATACCTGTCCAGTTTGCTCATTTAATGTACTTGTAATGATGTGTGGATGGTTGTTATTAATCTCAAATGGATTTGAATCAATATACTAAATTAAGAGATCAAATATCCTATTTCCAAGTTCTTCAGTCAGTTAATCCCATCCAATGCTATTTTAATCTATAGCTGTATACTATTCTATAATAGTAGTAATTCTGAACTATAAAATAAAAAAAAATGATATGAATGAATTAAGGAAAAAATCTAGAGACGAACAATGTTGATCTGTCTCACTTCAGTTTGGGAGACAGAACAAATTGCAACTGATCTTTAAGGTTATGCAATACAATTCTCACTACTAATCTTAGCCATAACCTTACCCTAAACCTAAACTTTTTATTTCCTCATATAATTTTGAGGGAATGAAGGTTGCTGAATTCTAAGATTTCAATATTTCATGTTTCTTCTTGAGTCAGGATGAAAAATAGCATTCTTGGAATTGTTCATTAAACAGAATATTTATTCCAACTGCATCTAAATATTTCATTTTGATAAAGTTGCAATGCTTCATTTTGACTTGACAAAATATATAATTTTCGCAATCCCATTCAGCTTTCTTAGATAAAATAATAGTGCAAAATTAATATTTAAACTCTATCAAAATGAAATATTATCAAAGTTTTTAATAAGTTTTCAATATGTTTAAATATATTTTTTCAACACAGTGCATTTGTGTTGAATCAACATTTTCAAACACAAGATTGCTTTATTATATATTTTTTTCTTTTAACCAGCTCTAGAACTAAGCATCTAAAATTCCAGTAGAAGTTAGGGAAACTGAGGGATCAGAACCTCTGAATTACGGAGCTTAATGTTTCTGCCTCAAACCATCTATCTTCAAAATGAAATGATATACACACCTTACAGAAATGTTCATGATTGGTTAATGTTTACACTATTTTTATGATATAAAAGCTACCTCCATCTGAAGTGCTGCTGTAATATATATGTTAAACATCTCTTAGACTGACCTCACTCAAGGCCTGATTGCTATAGTTCTAACTTTCATCAATTTTGGCATTCATTCTTGAAATTAGAAACTTCTTGTTTTTCTAACATAATCACAATCTGTAAATGGCAGAAATAATGATTTGGTATTTAGAAAGTGCTAAAGCATTAGAATTGTTATGATTACGTGACTGAAAACAAAGAACTTTATTAAATTCTTCATATGCTTTCCCTTGAAATAACCCTTACAATATGACTTGCCCCTAATTTTTTTCTTAAATAGAATTAGGCTTTGACTTTTCCATCTCCATAACAACATGCTTGGTTTCAATACACTGATCATAGTGGGAGCTCCACATAATTTCTATATTTAGCACTGCTAAATACAAATTATTTTTTAAAGAATTCTTAGGACCTTTTTCATAAACTCTCACATTTGTATTGTGTGCAGCCAGCCTTCGACATTCAATGGACAGACAGATGTACAATTATGGAAATGCCTTTTCTTTGTCCTATTAATTTCTATATCTAGGTTTAGTTGACCTAATATTATTTTCCTTTTCTCATTTGCATGTCATTTTAAATGGTCAAATCGACCAGCAAAGTAGCAGATGTTCTAAGAGTAACTCTGAATTCCAGAATAGCTATTGCCATGTGTAGACAAAACAAGAGGTGCATGTGCAAGGCACTTTAAAGCAGGCTAAATGCTTTCATATCACTTTAATGGTGTCAGTGTTTGCATGCCTCAGCGGCATATTGTGCATCAATTACAGCCGCTATAGGAAATTTGGCAGTGTAATGCACCTTAAATGACTTGGGGTGCAGCAAACTAAAATTCCCTCAAGGAGTTTTGGTTTCCTGCCCCTACAGCCGTGGAGCGAAGCACCAGGCTCCATGCAGCTCAGGGGCTCCAAGAAGCCCTGCAGGCAGCCTGGCAGCAGTCCAGGAAGGCAGGCTCTGCTCAAGAAAAGGGGTGAACCTAATCTCCCCTCCTCCCCACCCTACCCCCAGAGCCTGTCTGAATTGTGTGGGACCCAATGCTTCCCTCTGTGGCTGTGGTGCCCCCCAGGACTGCCTGAGTGGGTGCCTGCGGGCAGGTGCTGCCTGGGGGGAAGAGGGAAGGAGAGGGGATGGGGCCACTGCTGCTGCAGAGGGAAGCACCAGCTGCCCCCACAGCCCAGGGACTGCTCTGCCCACCAGCAGCTTGCCCTCCCTTCCCTGCTGGAGAGGCAGGAAAGTCAGCGGGGGGCGTGCATGACACGGGGGTTTAATCAGCCCTGAATTGAAGTAGTGTTTTTTAAAACCCACTGCTTCAATTTAGGGCCCGTTTCATCTACACACGCTCTATAATAGCAAACGACAGCAGATCCAAACTCCTGCTCCAAAACTTTCCAGTACTCCAGAGCTAGCATATATTCTCAGTGTCTTATCTTTCCCTGAGGGTACCGTACAAGAAACAGGCAAGAAAGTGATAAACTGTGATAGCTTCATAGATCCTCCCTTTGATCTAACCTTATTGTCAGAGTATAACAAGGCTGAATCTCTTCAAATGATACTTCCTACACCATTAGTCTGGCCACAAAATACCAGGGCATGCTAGGAAGATGGCAGGGAGAGAAGAAAAGGACCAAACTGTTGCTGGTCTACAACTGTTCCTAGAAGACAGATAAATAGGGCAATAACTAGGTGGCAGAGTTTTACAGCAGCTCTGATGTTCCACTACCCTATGCTAAAGCTAGAGATACTTTAAGCAGTGGAACAGGACCTGTGATAAGACCATATCCTTCATTCAGTTGTACTATACAGAGTCTTTTCTTTCTGTGATATACTTTTTTCTAGATGTGGCTTTCCTTTCCAAAACAGCCTTGTAAGGGCTCTTGTAGATCTTCCAACACCTAAAATTTAAGTGCTTTTCTCCAGGACGGTGATCCAAATTAAGAGCTTTAAAAACCTAGATTTGCTAATGGGGAAGATAGGTAATTCCCAAAGTAATCCAGAGTATCTAGCTGCTAGAGGTGCCCACTGAACCAGCTAGCTTTTAGGACCACAAGAGGCAGGGATGTGCCTGAACCCATTTTTATCCCTTAAAAAATTAGATAAATGAGTTAGAAGTGCAAGGGAGGCTCTCTTGCCATCTTGGAAGACAGATTGAAGGAAAGGAGTCATATTCCTAAAGCCATATTCATAGGAGAGTCACATACCTAAAGCCAGGACACCTACCGGCCGGCAGTGTGTGTGGGGGCAGACGGGCTAGGGTGCCCAGGCAGCAGGGCCAGATCCATTGGGGGCAGAGAAACTGGCAGTGGCAGCTGGAAGGAGCCACCACCCCTGGGGCTGCTGGGAATCTGAATCTGGCTGCCACGCCACCCTACTTTTGCTGTATGCCTCGGTGGCAGTGAGATCAGCTGCACATGCCAAGGTCTGGTCTGTCCCCATGCCTGGACCTGCTGCAGGACAGATAAAATCCTTCAGTGGGCTAGATCCAGCCCATGGGCTATGTTTTGCCAACCCCTGGGCTGTGGAAA